AAGAAACTCAAAAGGGATCGAATCAATGCACAGGAAAATAACTCACACTCCCATGCAACTCAGAAGCCTGGCAATTTCAGCAGTCAGTCTCCAGAGAAGCCTGAGGGCTGCCAAACTCACCAAGCACTTGCCTCAATACCTGTATCATTCTACCCATTCACGAGGTCATTAACACAGCTTTGGCTATTCCCCATGTCAGCAAACGGCAGGGCCAGGAGGTGGGCAGCTGCAGCACTGCTGGAGGGATGTCCCCTTCTCAGAACAGGTGGTGATGAAAACCCTTTTTGAGCTGCTCTGCACTCCTTGGAAAGAGATTAAAGTAACAGCCCACAGCCTCCAAAAGACAGATGAAGCATTTTAGGTTTGAGTCACTTCCAGCAAGCCAACTGAAATGTAAGCAGACAAAGCTAAAGCAAGATATTCTTAATGAAAGTAAAACTTTGGGCTCCGCATAACTTAGTGTATAGGCACAGCAAAATGCAGGACTTGAAGTACACTGGTCTGCTTACAATCTATCAGAGCACTGCATGACAAAGGCAGGAACCAGAGATGAGCTCAAGGCTAGCTAAAAGGAACCTGTTAATACCCTCTTTCTCCAACTACCTTGCCTTTTTTGGTAAACAGAGTTATTTAATTCAGGCTAGATAATTTAAGTTATGATATCTGTTTTTACCTGCACTGAAAACATACCGTGAATGCTGCAGTTCATTACTGTTTTCTTCCTTAAGAACTTTTAAAATACAAATGCATTCTGGAGCATCCCCAGTAAAGAGAGTAAAGAAATTCTAGAAGAAATGAACTTCCTTGAATAGGTACCAATATTATTCCAAGTTTCTAAGTATTGGGTTCCACTATGCTCATAGGTATAACAAAGATCACATACATGGCTGGAAGGAAGTTTAAGGAAGGATATGTTTATAGGAAATGACTTTATGTTGATCATAGGATAGGAATCTAGTGATGAATCAAAGGTACTTTGTCAAAGAGAAAAAATAAATCTCTGGGAATCAAAGTGCTCCATTGTCCAACATGTTTCCATTAGGAACAAATATATATAAACAAATCACAGAAAGAGCAACAAGTATTTAGATGATTACTACATATTTTGTTTGCAACTTCTATGGAAGTTTTCTTTCCTGACGGCATTACAAAATAACCTTTTAAATATCCGGAACTCAGCATTCTTGGATTAAGCTTCTGCAAACCTTGACCCCAAACTTATACTGTTTAACAGGAAGTATTAATGCATTGTACCTATTATTCTGTCATTTAGCTGAATAAGAGTCAAACCAGCAAATCTCAAGTACTTCCAACACCACATAAAGTCAGTAGGATCCTCGGGAGTACAGGACCCCTCTGAAACTAATGTTTAAGATTGCAAAGCAGGACATCTGGTTGTTGCAAAAAGATGGCAAAAAAAGCCAATTTAGCGACCTGAGCTGCATTACTTTACAGTCTGTGCACCAATTTTCTTAATTAAAAAAATTATTTTTTTTCCTAAGCACAGTCCAAGAATATTTTTCAGCAACCAACAATAACTCACTAAGAGCTGCTACACAAGATTTGATTCCAAAGCATTTGTTTATTTGCAAAGTCCAGCTACAGACTGATGGCCTGTATCTCTGGAGGTCACATCAGTGAGGCTTAGAACAGCTGCTCAGATCTTCCCAGAAGTGTGTCACACAGGGAGATAAAGAGCTATTCCACAGCACAATGGATAACTATTAAGTAATATATGCCTGCCCAGTAGTATTTAGTGCTTGTCACCACAAGCTTCTAAAATAAAGTGAAACCAAGCATCTAATGTATGTAACATACATAATGTAATAATTCTTATTAGGGAGCAGTTGTTCCTCCACACACACATACCCCCCCCAGAAAAACACTGTAGTGATTTCCGAGTAGTAACTGCAGACACAGGTTTCACTGACTGGCTTATAAGCAAGTCTTAGAAAAGTATTCACCAAATAGTTATTTGTTCTGCAGGGTCTTGTAACCCTGGAGAGGTGGGAGGTTTGACCTCAGGAGTAAGCTCCCCCATCCTAAGTCAGAGAAACATTTCCTTGATGGGTCTTTAGGACTCCAGATGTACAGAATCATTAGGACAGGGAATTCTCTTAAGTGATCACCTGTTTCTGTGTCTAACAAGATAATAACTGCCTGTCTTTGTGTTACTTTCCTTACCTTGATAAAAAAAAAAAACATTTTCCCCACGGAAATGCCTTGCCCAGCTGTGGATGGAAGACCCACTGCAAAGGTCTCCCATACTTTTAGTGGCAGGCAGGAGTAGGGCAGCATGGCATGGTGAACCCACTGCAGACACCTCACTGTGTAAGCGATGCATGGAAGAATTCCCAGGAAAATAGCTCCTGCTGCCAGTGCAAGGAGCAAATCATGTTGCTCTCTAAAAGCTCTTTCTTTGCCATGAGATTGATTTTTAGATAGCACAAGACAGGGCCCATAATAAAATGTGCATTATTTTCAAAATGCAAGCAACATTGTCTTCCTCCTAGCATCTGTCAAAAGACAAAGCAGTGCCCAGATGTTGAGCTAAACATTGCCAAGTCCTGCAAATCACTGCAAGCTGAGAAATTGACAAAAAGGGGAAAAATAAGAGTTTCAGTTCCTTTTAGTGAAGTTTAACTTCTCTAAGTTCATGGCCTCAGTTATCTAGCATTAGCCACTTGTAAAAATATTAGCTTCTGGTTTTCCTGTTTCTTCTGCTGGAGGATTAATTTCAGGGAACTTTCAGTCTTTCTTTTGATTCTAATGCTCTTAAAACAACTGCTAGAAAAGCCATAATACAGTCCAAATCAAAACCAAACCAACACAATGAAACGTTTTATTCATAACCATTTTTGTACTAAGTATTTGGTTATTTTCCACCAAATCATGCACAAAACCCAAGCAGACAGAAGTACAAGAGGGACGGATTTGTGAAAAAAAACCAAAGTAACAACTTTGAGGAATCTGTTGCTTGTCTTAAAGTGCCCATACACACAAACAAAATGCTCTTACCAGATACCAAGAAGTGCAGTCTGTCCTAAAACACTAAGCTGCTGATTTTAAACCAATGTTCAGAGCCTTAATTTGTTTCTAATCTGTTATGTGCTACATTTCCAACCACATTTACATTTCTGATTAATCCAGCAGCTGTGTTTCGCTGGAACAAGAGCAGGCTGTAAAGCCCAGGATGAAGCACAGAAGAACACAAGATGAAGGGAAAAGTGCCAGACACTCCATAGTGCTCTTCAAGCAGTTGCTGTTGCTGTTGACTTGACCTGAAGAGCAAATATACACTGGCAACAGGAGGCAGTATAAAATTCTGCAGTAAGTAGTCCCCGGTTAACAGTGTTCCACCTGTTAGATTCAACTCCTTACAAGTCAAGAAGAACATCTCTGACAGATGAAACATGTAATTATAGGGGATTTTTTTTTTAAATTCTGCCTTTATTTACACCAGCACACCCACACAGAAGTCAATGAAGCTGCAGACCAAAGATTACTTTCTGTTAAGTGATAAACACACCTACAGTCAGGAAAGAGGACAAGGAAAACATTGTAAAGCAGAATCCTCCAGAACACTGGTTCTTGAAAATCTGGCTATGAAGCTAAAAGCAATTTGCATGTCCCTCCCCACAACAGCTCTCGCTTTTTTTTCACCTCTATCATTTTAATTTTTGGTAACAAATGTCTAAAACCTCTGCAGATTTGCAATTGGATATCCTGGGGAAAGTTGGTAAAGGAATATTTCACAATTCTCATCCAACTAGAGAACTAGCTAACTAAGGCAACGCCAAGCCACAGCTTCTTTATGGAACCACCCTGGGTAGGAAGCCAGGAGCACTCTACTTAGTTACCAAGCTGCTGCTGCATTCCTCAGGAGCTTTCCAGAAATGCCCAAAGGGCCACTGAATCTAGTACTTTTCCCTCATACAAAGCTGAAACAACTTCCTTCTGCAGAACTACTTAAGAAAGACCAAGAGTCCTGCCCTGAACTGCTCAGTTTTTCTTCATACATCCCTTGCAACAGTTTTACATTAATATTATTTCAACGTAAGTTCAGCTTTATGCATTGTTGATATCAGCGTTATATCTAGAAGTTGCTGTCACTTTGGAGTTAAGTCTTATTCATATTTTTCTTTGAAAGAAAATGATAATATATTCTTCAAAGCAAATAGAGGAGCAATTTAAAAAAAAAATAACACCCCACATTTCTGTCTAGTTCTATATCTCAGAGGAGTAGAAATCCTTTTTATTTCTCCAATACAGACTGTCGTCCACTTTACTAACAAAAATTGCTCAAAATGTTAAATGAATGGTTTACTTCACTGCTCAATACGGCAGTCCCACCTACCATTGAATCAGTTAGTTCTTTATGACAAGTAGGCCTATGGGTAAAGAAATTACCATAGGTACTACCACCAGCCTTACAGAAAATATTGGGAAATAAACATCTAATAGAACAGCAAATTGCTTCTTATAGATAGTATGTAATATCCAAAAGTATAACAAGGAAACAGGACTTGTGCAGTTTATTTTATGTATTTTGTTTACCTTACCTCATTTTTTACCTAAATTACTTTTCCTTGACCACTGATCACTGAACGAATATGACTTGAACTGGACTATTTACACTACCTCATGCTATACAACAGAAATCTGGTGCTGGCTTATCTACCTGCTACTGATCCCATGTAATCCTTTGAAAATGATTTTGATGTAATTGTTTGCATGGAGTTTAAGAGGTTACTGTACTTTAGACATCTCATATAAGAATTACTTGTTTAGAAGCCACCAGTATGTATACCATTTCTTACACTAAGTGGAATTCCAGTGTTCTGTAGGACTATCTGCAGGCTGGATATTAAAGATGGAGAGAGGAATCAAGGTCATGATCTTACCCCTATTTCCCAGGTTTGGATGAGTTCAGATACAAGGTTCTGTTTTTACCTTCTGCCTGTGAAAAAATACATAAAACAGCTCAGTCATACCAAGGTGTGCTGGTCCTTTCAGGGTGATTCTCACACTGCGACTCCCGTGTGGTACAGCAATCACTGTTTCTTCCCCTAGGAAAATTAAACAACTGTTTAAGAAGTTATCTTATACATCACACAACAAGACTGAAAACTGTCAGATGTCTCTAAGAAAATATTTAACAGGTTTCACAATTTTTCTATTAAAAATAATGTGTTATTTTATGAAGTACAGCATACTGAGACTGTTTGCTATGCTACACAACTATTAAGACCTACGAACAGACTTGTAAAACTTTCTTACTATTAGAAAATTATTTGCTATTAACAAAAACAACTGAAATGTCAGTGGTGTATTAGGAACATATTTACACTCTGTTGTCCTAGTTTTATTTCCTAATCACTGAATTGACATAAGGAATCTGCTAAGTAGTACTTCCCCTTGCAAAGATCTGCAGCTGTTCAGTCTCACTTTGCCCACACCTCATTTCCTGCTGCAGGTCACAACTTTAATAAGTGGCAGGACTTACAGGAAATAAATCATCTACTTAACACTAACCCTTAACCAATTACAGGTCGGTTAAAAGCAAATATATACTAGCTATAACGTATATGTTATAACAGAGTGTCTGCATCTAACTTACCATATAAGAACATTCCTTCCAGTAAGAGCCTCAATTTCAAATTAACTATAAACCAAACCAGCCCTGAACAGGACACGTCAATACAAAACAGCTTCTGGCTGCCTGACCAGCATTTTCATATATAAATGTACAACACACTTACTTCAGTGCATTTTACAAAGGCAGAAAGTTATTACTTTCCATTTCAAATGTACGAACTCTGTGATTTGCCCAAGCAAACTGCATTAACAGTCAAATCAATAGAGCAAAGTCTTTCATGCCAACAAGAGCTGAGCTCTCAGGGCAGGGTATGCGCAGTGCATGACAGAGAGATCCACAAAAGGACAAGAGAAGCTTTCCAACAACAGAGCATCAGTGAGCTACCTCCCATTTCCATCACGACCCAGTTGCAATCTTCTTCAAGGCAGGACCTGCAAACACAGGCTCACTGCAGGTACACCCTGCAGAGACTGCTCTGTTCAGCGACTGCATTAACATACATCTAGGGGCTGGTGTAGAGGAAGTTCATTTTTGCAAATCCAAAAAGTAATGAGAGTTGAAGGACAGTGATACGCTGGCTTCAGCTACTCAAATTATATTTAGAAGGAGAATATTTGAGTTTAGTTTTAACTAAAAAAAAAAAAAAAGTTGAAGAATGTTTCTTTCCACTTTAAACTGGACCCTTTTATAGTAGATGCTAAATTATCAGCTTCTGGTTTACATCTCCTTAGCATAAGTATGAAATCCTGCCAAATGTTCAGGATACTTCAAGCAAATACTGCAATTATTTTTTTCTGAAATAAACACCTTCTTATGTTACAGTTTTTCTATCGCCAATTTCTAGGAAGGCCATTTAAATATAACAATTTATTTTGGATGTAATAAAATATGATCTTTATTAATTTCATACTTGGGTATTCCACCAGAGTGCAAAATACTACAGTAAGAACAATAATACAGTAAAGGAGCCCTGGAAAAAACATTAACTACTGAACCACTTAATATCTTTTTGCATCTTGGTTTTTCATCAGGTGAACTGCTAAAGATAGCCAGAAGGTAGTGGATGTGTGTATCTTCAAAGTAAGGTACTGAATTCATATGTGCTCTACAGTGTTAGAGGGAAAGCAGGTTGGAGGGCCCCATCTGTCAGGAACTGTACCCAATCAACCAGCAGTTACAGCACAAAACCTCAAATAAGAGTCTGATTATGACCAGTTCTGAACATGCACAACTGCTGTTTTGAAGAGGAACCAAGGGCGTCCCATGCTGAACGGAGGAGGCCCAGATTTGCAGATGTGCAGGGATGTGTAAGCCTGCTCCTCTGGAGAACAACCAGGGTCGTTCTGCTGTGCTTCCTCCACTTCCTTACAGCAAGCTCCACTCTCCTCAGCAGGCCTTGTTGATCCCTTTTCAGGATGCTTCACATTCCTTTAGCAGTACTACAGACATTCCACCCTCACCAAAGCACTCTCTGATATGGTCCAAAAGTCTCATGGGGGTGCTAAATTCGGTGTTTCTCTGCGGCAGAGACAATATTACCAGAAAGGTATTTTATTTGCATTAGAGGAGATGACTACATTCACCACTACAGCAATGTTCAACCTCGGCAGCCCCACAGACCTGTGAAGAAGTCTGACAGCAGGAGATTCTTGTAACCTGACTGAGATAATTATGACCTAGGGCAGCGTTTCCGTGAAATGAAGTAAATTATGGGAAAAAAATAAAAATGGTATTTTTGGAATTCTGAACCAAGATGGGGAATTGGAAGAAAACGGGAGAGAGTTGACCCTAAGGAACTCCACCTTCTCCTGAGGACAGCTTTAACTTCCTATGAAACAGTAGTTACGATTGTCCAGGTCTGGCTCCAAAACTATATATTCCAAAGGTCTCCGGTTCTCAGCTGAAGCATGTAATTCATATTCTTAAAGGAACACAAGGACCTGTAAACCCATTTAAAAATGGTTATGCTGTACATTTCCCATTAAATCAGTAGGATTCATGCTGCTAAAAGAGAATTCTTATGACAACATAAGGGAAAGCTGCTACCCTGAAATCTACACTTCGAATTTCCAATTATCTTTTTTTCCCCTCTTATACTATTTATTTATCTTTGAAAGTTAATTGCTGACCTTTACCTAAAGCTGAAAAATAGGCCCAGGATCATCAGAACATGAAGAAATGCTACACTATAAAATCTGATTTTAGAATCATAAAGCTCACCTCAAAAACTAAGAAACAGGTGAGATATTGTGACTCTATCACTGCTTTCGCTGTAGGGACTCCCGAGAGCATGTGGGTCATCTTTCTTCAGCACCAGCTTGAAATGGGCTTTCTGCTCTTGCCCAGGGACTCTCTCAGCAAATGTCTGTGCACACACTACTCACAGCACTTGCTGATCAAGCTCCCAGATTGCTTTTACTTTAGACAGCAAAGTTTGATCCCGTTTCTATGGTGTTAATGTGGATTTAGATTTTGGATTTCAATGAGAGTAAGATCAGACTCCCTGCTATGGTAAGACTGGGAGCTAATCCCCAGGATCAAAATAAAGGAGCCACATTCTTGAGCTCAATCCAATTCAGCAGGTTTTATTTATTTTTCCATGAGGGCCACAGTGGACCCATTTACTGTTTCACATACGGGCCAGTTGGGATTTTTCCTTCTCCCCTCTTACAGCAGGGCAGAAGGTTTATTTCAGGCCCATAAAAACTGCTTCTTTCCATGTATTTGCTCAGCACTTATCTGCTGGTCCTCTAGTTCTGATCAGAGGTCTATGTGCTCTCAAAATACAAGGAACAATAGCCCAGGAACAACTATCAGCCCAGGGGAAGTAAAAAAGCTCAAAATGTTTGGAGACTTATTGCAGTGGTGTCCCTGATCCACTCTAACATTAGGCATAATTTCAGATGATATTGGTGGTGGTGTATGTGCTGATCTGCCTAATGACCAGAATCTGTGCAAAGTCCCATACATACTCTTTACGAGACACCTGAGCTAGATAGGTATGTGCTACTGAAAGCACCAGTATCATGACCCTAAAAGTCACACTGCAAAATCTGTGTGCGTAAGTCTTTTCTGTCCTTGAGTCCTTCCCTCTCCAGTCTCATACTATCCCACTCCTCTGTACCTCCATCCCTCTGTCCAAATGGTCTTAGATCAAGGCTCCCTCTTCATCTAAGAATGACACTACTTTGCCTTGTGGAGTAATTACTTCTAATGTGTGGTAACCTACTTTCAAGACAAACGGTGTTGCCTCTACTCATTTTAGTTACTTCTTTTCTACTTCTGGGCACCATTTCTAAAATTTGCATGCACTGGAGAAAATGTAGTCACCTAGGAAGCTGCCCATCAAGAAAACAGATCTCAAGGAAAAGCAGTGCAGCACAGATAACAAAATAGCCATTCTTACACAGGAATTTCTCCAAATAAGACAAAAGAGATCAGGAAAGTGGCTTCATACTACCTATAACAGCCCCAAGTAAACCAACCAAACTAAACAGATCTGTAGACTGAAGTAATTGGTCCTCAAGATCCAGCATCCTGAAGACCAGCACTATATACATTGCAGGTGCTTCACTTTGGACTAACTCTACTCTGATCCCATGGACTGCATACCCAGTAGCTGTTGGAGAACGTTAGGTGTTTTTCCATGGCACATCCTCCAGTTTAGCTTCATCCAAAAAAATCCAGTTGGTAGTCTCCAACACCACTCCATGATGTGAAATGATGAGCAGTATGTTAGGACCATGATCAATTTGCCTCAAAAAACATATTCCTAATGTTAATATGTTGGTATTCTATCCCTGCACACTCACTGTTTTCCTGCCAAACCAGTCCCAATTTCCTCCCCTGGCTCCACATACAGTTGTTTTTCCCCTTCCTCTCCAAGTGTTTCTGGCTCCATCTCCCACCTCAGATTCCTTATCTAATCTCAGTCTTCCTCTTTTTCCTTGACCCAGTGTATCAGTACAACCAATCCTAGGACAGTCCTCCTCCCACCTTCTCCTATCTGCCTTCACTGTATAAACTTATGTCAATTTTTTCTTTTGCAGCTACTCTCATCTTGTCTTTCCCTCTCTTCATGTGATCTCATCACACCCAGTCATTAAGTCTGAAGCTCAGAAGAGTCAGTAGCTCTCCACAAAGTATCTTCTGTAATGCCTGAACATAGGGCAGGAGGCATCATAGAGTTCATCCCATGGTACCCACCCATTCCACATTGCAGCAAAGTAGAAATCAAGAACTTTTTAAAATAATTTTTTAATAGCTTAGCTCTGGAAGAGCAACAGGTTGATTTAGTCCAAGGAGATTGCACACTTATGATCTGTTTTCAGTTTGGACATGTAACAATCTAAAACACACTGCAAGAGACAAGCTTTCATAAATGTCAGCTGTTAACATCCAAGAAACCTCTACAGAAACTGAAGGAAAGGGTTATGTTTGGTTTGTTGGTTTGGTTGTGGTGGTGGTCATGGTGGTGGGTTTTGTTGTTTTAGTTTGTTTTTGTTTGGTTGTTTTTTTAACCATTGTAGTAAAATGTGTGTCAAGGTTCACAAATATTGCAAAGGATTTGTCCATGACCAGAAGACCATTGCCTGCCAAACTTCAAATCCCTGATCTGTGATCAAGTCCAACAATGGGGGATGTTAAGACATATTAAAGAAAAGGTTTCAGGAATGTTTTGACAGTGGGAAACATGTTTTTCTCTGCTGTGTCTTTGAAATATGCTGAATTGTTTTGGCTGAATTTTCTCCAAAACATTCATCACCTGGCATGGAAAGTTTCTGACCCAACTGTTGAATCCTGGCAAAAAATCATAAGTATAAACAGGAGTATCAGGCAACCTTGACAATGTGAGTTACTAGCTCCATGCATATTGATTTCAAAGAGGGAAAAAGATGCAAGGTAGCAAGGTGTCACAAAACTGAGCCAGCTGATGATGCCAACCAGGGAACGTTGCAGAAGGCCTCTGTTTAGATAAATGACCAAAGTGAAATTGGGTTTTTAGTTAAGTGCACTTGGGGATGATGACATACAAACCACATGACAGCAAGTGACCCAAGGTAAATTACACAAGTACCATAGGAATCACAGAATGGTAGAGGTTGGAAGGGACCTCTGGGGATCATCTAGTCCAACCTCCCTGCTAAAGCAGGTTCACCAAGAGCGATTGCATAAGATCATATCCAGGCAGATTTTGAAAGTCTCCAGAGAAGGAGATTCCACAGCCTCTCTGGGCAGCCTGTTCCAGTGCTCTGTCACTCTCAAAGTAAAGAAGTTTTTCCTTATGTTTAGGTGGAACTTCCTGTGTCGTGGTTTGTGCCATAAAATGCATAGCAAGAAAATTCCAACAGTTACAAAGCTGTTAACGCCGAAACCTTCTGTATGACGCTTTTAGGAAAAAGTTAAGGATGGTAAAATTTGTAAGTATCAAACAGTTTGAGAATTAAATAAGACTAGATTAGGACAAGCCTGTGCCTTCAACTCTACTCCCTGTTAATTTCAGAACCAGCATCTTTTTGTCTTCCTTAGTATCAGAACCAGAACACTTTCCTACCATTTCTTGCCAATAATGGTACAGAAAGCAGACATCAGGGCCCAATTCTACAATTTTTCCATGTGCACAAAGTGCAGTGGAGTTAATGGGAGTTCCATGCAGTAGTACTAGAAACATCAGGTCCATGATATCTCATTTCCCAATAGGACAGTACATTTTACAACCTATTACACTTTTTGTTTGAATATCATTAGTCAAACCTTTAATCATTTTACCAGAACATTAGAATCTGGCTTTCTGGCAGAAGTCTAACTTACTTTGTCTTTCAAATGTAATTAAGTGTTAGTGTAAAAAATAAAGAACTTTTGAAATAACAGTTCTTTTCATGTCTGCAAAACAGTAAACTTTCTCTCAGTGCAGTTTAGCTTTCTGATCAAAAAAGGCATTAATTTTACGCAAAAACTTATAAAAAAAAAAGTGAGTCCTTTATGAGGAATCATTTGCTAACATTGCCTAAATTTCTTTTTTTTAAATTAAGGACCAAGATAACTAGGCACTTCTATTTTCTCATGTCTTTTTTTTTTCCTCTTTCACTTGCCTTATTCCATAATAAAATTTACATCCTGGTTATAACCCTACAAGCTCCCTCTTAAATGTATTTATCCCTTTTATCACTTAACCTTTTCTGTACTTACAAACTAAAGAGCAATTAAGTGTGAAACTTTTTCTTTCACTTAGCATGAACTATCCAACCAGATCTGCTAATCCAATAAGTTTATTCGGTTTTGCCTTACAATTAGCTAGGTTGTCCCCAGGAATCATCCTTCTCAGGAGACTCTCTGTTATTGTAAAATTGGAATAGAAAATTCAATTTCTTTCTATTCCAGATGACCTCCACATCAGAAAGGTGAAGAGATATTTGTGCATGTGCATGTGTGTGTGTGTGTATATACCTATATTTTTTTGTGTGTATATATATATATGCACACAAAAAAAAAAGTCCTGGTTGGTAACACTACAGAAGTTATATCCAATCTTGACTGCTTCACAACTGCTTGCTCTGTGCTGACCAGAAGCTCTGAGTATTTGATAGGACAAAGTGAATAAAAAGTAGCCCTCCAGAACAATGCTTTTTCAGCTCACTGTAAACATTCAAGACATTTCCTCAGTGTGCCATGATAAAAAACTCTGTAAATTATTGAGCTACACATGATTATCCACAAAAAAAAAGGCCTCTAATAAAGGTAAGGCAAAGGCTGATACTTATAGCCCATTCAGTATGTAAAAAAAAAGGCTCTTTGATACATGCAAAACTATTCGGTGACTTTGAAAGTAAATATTATAAAATATTTACTTTTTAACTTAGGTTACCTTTGTTATACATATGTATTGAATTACAGAAATTATGCACCTGCACAGTGTAGGATAAACTAACATAAAACCTCGTAGATCAATACAAGTAGACATCCTGCAAGGTAACAAGCATTAAGATAACACACATTGCACTCCAAGTTACATCCGCACTGAAGCATACTGCAAGCAATGGCATTAAAGAAACCCAATGGAAATATTTACATATACCACAGTAAGAATTAAGCATGATTCGATATACAACAACTCTTTCAAAATCAAGGCACAACTGAAATCTTTGCAGGCTAAACTACAGCAGCTCTAAAATAGATGCAGCTGTCAATGGCAGGTGCTTCATCCACATAAAATGCTACCTGCTTGAATCTGAACTTTGAGTATTGACTTTAAAAGCGGCAGATCACCAACCTGGCATCTTGTGGCTCTGCAGGAAGGTATCAAACCCCAAAGGCTCCATTTCCACATGACAAATTAACATTGTGAGTTCAGAACCAAAAAAACTGATGCAAAGCAACCACCTCATATGAAAAACACATGGGAGATATGCCTTGAGATTACAGGAGCATCACTTGTGAGGGTGGAAAGCACAAGTGTCAGTGGTGAGCCTCTATGTGACAAACCTTGCATGGATATCAAAATAACCAGACTCTAAATATCCCAGTAAAGGGTGTAACTCTGATGCTGTGCCTCTCTTTAATACTTCTGAGACCTACAGAAGTACTCACAGTAAGATGCTAATTATTTTTCAAAAAGAGGCAAAACTTAAGTCAAATACATACACACAAAAAGAGAGAATAAAGCATTATTCTCTTTGACCTTGTTCTTTTTATACCATATAAGTAGTTACCTTGCCTCTGAAGTTCAATTGTCTTTAGATACGTTAGAAAAAAAAGAAAAAAAAAAATGAAAGAAAGAAAAAAAAAAACACAGAAAAGCTAAGTTGAAAACCAGGCACTTTCAGTCATGGGCCACAATTTCCATAAAACCATCTATAAGATGTTTCTGTGACTTAAATACGTTGCTGCAGCATCACATCTATTGCAGCATGAGGATACCCTCTAAAATAAGATGTGCATTTTGATGGTTATTCCTGATAGAATGAATTGAGGAGCTCCATTAAAAAAATGCATATCTCAAATTCTTTCCTAGTAATACCCTAATGTGTGGTATCCCTCATGGAATTTCAATAGACTAATCTAGCACAGACTTTACTATAAGTAGCTTTGGAAAACTGCAAACAGTATATAGTGAAAAGGTCAACATTCTGCAATACATGTGTTAATATACAAGCAGAAAACACAGTCAAGGATAAATTATCATAGGATCAATTTGCAACCTACTTTTTTCTGGTGAGACATGTGCCTTAGCTTGTCCCCTCACAAGCCTGCATGTTGAACCATCTCCTGCACAGATTCCACAGTTGTCTTCCTTGGCATTGCTCCCAAGTTGTCGATCACAGCCTACTGCCTGCCAACATCAACACCACAGTCAGAAGGAGGGCAAATCTGTAGTAGACATGCTCAGGTTTCTGGAATTTTATTTATTATGTTATCCTTGTGTTTTTATGAGCTGGCTTCATTCTGTCAAAGCATACCTTGCTATTTGGGATTTTCAAAGCACACTATCATTTCCACGATTTTAATGATGAACCACAAACAACTGACAGATTAAGCTATTCAAGCATAGGCAATAGATGAATCAGTTTCCCACTACTTATGTGAATGAACACCATTGAGCGTTAGTCTTTTCAACACAAGGGACAACTATGTTATTTACAATTTGGTTTTCATCAGCTGTTTAATTATGTCTGAGAAAGGATTAATGCAATGAAATAACCCAAGTTAAACATTTAAAGGGCACTCAGCCTTCAGCTTGACAGACAAGCAGCTGTGGCAGTGCTCATAAACTAGTGCCTTGGCCATTCAAAGTTTAACAGGTATTCATGTAGATTTCCGATTTACCATTTACATCAATGTCAGTCACATACACATTTGCTAACCAGGTTTTAGAAACTTGGATGATTCAGTTCTCACTGTGATTTTTTTTTTCCTGAATACGAGAACTTGTCTATAAAACTTTCCAATGATTATTGTAAATACACCCAAACTTAAATTGCCAAAAATTCCCAGAGCAAAGGTTTTGAAAAACCACCAGCTGATAAATCTACAAACAATAATGAATGGGTTTTTTTTTTTCATGTTTTTCTTTTTCTTTATATCAGTAACCCTAAAAGAAACATGGGGGTGGAGAATGGGAAGACAAGAATAGACAACATTGACTAGAAGTACCTTCCTGCT